TGAAATACTCCGAAAAACATTCGCTGCTCATAAGAAATTGAAAATGTACATTGCCGTTATGTTAAAAAGTGATAAAAAAAGGTCGAGAACTTACAAGACTCGATGATAACAGAAAAAAAAAATGGAAAAAAACAACACCTACCTATTAAAAAAAAATTTATTTCGAAACAATTATGACTACTACCTATTCAAAAAAATACACCGCACATAAATCTTTACGTTTTGCAGTGCCGTACGAGATAATTCGATCCGCTCAGCAGCTTTTTGTGTCGGTACGCAGTCGTTGTCTATAATAACTATTATACCTATAAATCCATTTTACAATCGGTTTCTCTAGATTTTATCCCAATTCCCTTCCCCCTCCCCACCCCGATCGCAGCTCAACAAAGTCCTCTTCAGCAATTAAAGCGTAGTATATTTATAGGTACTACGGCGATTGCAGTGTACGGGTGGGTAATGTGCATTGCGTGTTCTGCGCTATGTACCCACAAAATGATATAAAAATGTCAAGGCCGCCGAAGGGCAATGGAGCGGACACACTGCACCGTGTACGCCATAATAMTGATATAATATGCAATTCTACGTAGTAGTTGGTATATTATATTATAATAATAATTTACGCATAGGAAACGCATTTTTTTTATTTGTTTTAAACAAAAAAAAAAATATATATTAAATATGAAGACTCGGGGACCGCATAAATATATAATGCGAAAACCTATTCGTATATTACACTACAATAATAACAGACGCTGCCGTTAGGCGTCGGCGAACCGCACACAATCGATATAATATATTATAAATGTCGTGTATGTGTGTGTGTGTGTGTGTGTGTGTGTTGTACCTTATATACTTTTGTCCTGTGTTGCGGTTGCCGTTTGTACGCCTCTTCGCTCGTCTAATGGATAAAATATTGTTTGTATTCGAATAATATTATAAACGGTGCATATTATAATATAGGGTGGTGGTGGTGGGGAAAATGCACGCGATCTTCTATAGGTCGGCGTTATTATTATTATTATATGATATATAATGGATATTGTTAACGTAATTATAATAACAATATGCAAACTACAATAAATTACGTTTTCGATTGATAAAATAATATCAAAACGTCATGTTTTTTTTTTTTAAATACTTTCCGCATTTTTAATGATATTATTTAATTAATAATTGTGTATGTATATATAAGACTATGTACATTGTATTGTGTTTACTGAGTGATACACCCAGCACGCTCATCTCCATTTTTCCTTAAATAATTATTAATAAATACGCGTACTTATTTTCAATTTGAGTTMAATAACTAAACTTGTATTTTCCCTCTGAAATTTACAAAAAATAATGTGGTACTTGTTYCAAAAAAAATAAATACATATTTGTATAACTACTGGACACATTCGTTTCGCGTTAAAAATCTAAGTAAAGCGTCTACCCAAAAATATAGTCCATGAAGACGTATATCATACCCATAAGGATAACATTACTATATTATAATCCATGATATGATGTAGATCATTGGAGCCTTATGATGTATCAAAAACTATAATAGTAATCATAATCAACATATACAAATTTTATAACTGTAAATAATGGTCCCACCATAATAACACATTAATATATATTATGTATCACATAATCTTTTATTTGAAGTCAACAGATAAAACAAATATTAACGAGTGGGTAATAATGACTATAATGACAATATTGTAATCCTTAGTACACRAAGTTCAATAACTCAGAAACTATTATAGGTAGGTGTACCTACCTAAATACTATCATTTAATTTTTGATTTGGATGATTTATCAGATCAATATTTAAACGAAACAATCGTCCGCTAAACAATTCTCTAAAAMACTTGGTGGTTGACATTTGAAAAGAAGTTCGTTTCGTCACTGCAGCAAGATACTATTCCTTTGGTGGTACAAATATCTAATTATTCGAAAACCTTTTCGTTATATTATAGTGCAGTAAACTCGATAATTGCAAAGAAATCATAATACAATATTAGAATGAAAGGGGATGAGCGTGTGAATCACACGCTGTTTATACATATTATAATATAATATATATTATGTAAATCAATGTATATAATATTATTAAAATATGTGCTAATGTGTGCAGTACATTWCTATCGTCTATTATACGTGTGTGTGTGTGTGTTTATCCGTATATTCTATATCATCGTAGCAGCAATTGTATGTGCCGGATTTTCGCACTGTGGCAGTGTGATTAGCTGGTTGTGTACATATTTGATATTATACTCACGGCCACTAAGCACATTCCACTGGGCGTCAGGCCATGTCCGACACGACTACGACGACGACGACGACATCGACGACGACGACGACGAACAAGTTCACTTTAATATCATATGATTTAGAACAACGAAATAGTGTTAACAATAACAAAACAACATTATATTCGTATACGTATAAAAAAAAAAAAACAATTATTCATTACTATTCTATTGAATCGTTTCATTACTAGATTACTGTATTGTTGTACTATAATACGTTATAAATATGTATTGTACATCATGTTTGTGGATAGCGTTAACTCGACCTGTAATATATTATATTATATACCTTACCTATATATATAACCAGAGGTTATCATTATGACGTGTTTAATTTTATATTATGCAATTTTAATACAAATACAATATAATAATAATAATAGTTACATTCCATGTTTGAAATAACTTGGCGTCCGCGGTGTGTGTTGTCTGCTTAAATCGACAATTTGACATACTACAGACCGTATTTTATAATATTATCATTACAATACATTATTGTGCGTGTGTTGCTCCACACGTTTTTAACAATATACATATTATGAATTTATGACGATTGATGGGACCATGATTGGGGGAGGGKTCGTATATCGACATAAATTATTGCGATATTATTGGCTGATAAAATGTGGAAATTAAAAAAAAAAAAAAATGTTAGACACCTCAAAGACCGTTTCGAGGAGTTGATCGACAATAATATATATGTATATAATACAATCGCAAACTCATTTCTGTAATTATAAGCCCGAGTCAGTAAAATGCATTTAAGTAGTATATTGAAGATGTTTAAGACGGCGGGAAWCCATACGACGACTACAATAAGCAGTTATAAGCGTCGCTATAGAACGTTTCATCGAATTGTGTATCGGTCGAAAACTTACGCACGCCACGAAACTGCAAATATACACGGGTCGTCGTCGCCGGTGTTAAGTTAAAATATTTTTTATTTCGCATTATTATAAAAATGGCGGGCACACGTTGAATGCGGTCGTCGTGAACACTTTTTACGCCCAGATTAGAGACGTTTTTTTTTTTGCACGTGCGTTTATGCGGCGAACCGTGAGCAATTAAAAATAAATAAAATAATAACACTTTACTCAGGACCACGGCACTTCAAATAAAACATCTCCCTGGTAATACATATTACATATTTTTTTCCTCGGCCGTGTTCGTTCGTTCGGTGTACCTACACATAATATAAATAATAATACTGTGGCATTCGCATATATATTACATGTTAGTTACCTAGTACAATAATATTCAGCTGACATTCATACAAAAAATTATTTATTTATATTTTATTATTATTGTCCCTCCCCCCTCCTGTGTRAAGATGACAAAATAATATGATGATGAATTATATTAATCGGCGCATAATAATAATAATAATGACATGATAGTATCATATTATTGTAATAACGTACTGTAGTGCACGAAAAATCGCATTTCCCGGGTCATTCGTTTTATTTTTCTTCTCGTCGTGTTATTTTAACCAATAAACGACGTTCGTCAAAAATACTGAACCGTATTACTTTTATACGGAATCGATAATATCAATCGGGTGTAGCTAAAATGTGATTAGCGCAGACGGTAAATAACCTTTTTTTGATGGTAAAAGAATCCCTGCGTTTTGGGGGGGGGGKGCACCCAATTATTACTTGGRCATACATTTATATCMTAGTCGTCCTACACATATATACAATGCCCACAGTATTCCCAGGCGGCCTGTACAAAAAAAAAAAAAGCAAACATTACTTTTAATGAAAATACGCGAGTTTATTTTTCTGAAACGGTATTTACATACATAACAGCGGCGGTGGAGTTTTCATTTAAATTTGAAACTCGCGCGCAGACAAAGACCCATCATAGCCATTCGAAGTCTGCACAGCCGACGTGAAAAATAAAACATAAACATGATAAAAATATTATAGTATTTTTTTTTCGAACGCGAACCGCCACCGCGACGGTTTAAGAACTCATTTGTTTTTTTACAAGGTACAATACTCATTCGACGCGTGGCAGTTGCTGTGATTTTTTTTTTTGCACGTCCCTCTCTCGTTACTCTGCGATATAATAATAATAATAATAATAATATGATAAACGTATGTATACATAGGTTCTGTTTTGCGGGAGTTATGACGACAGTGACACGTTTGAACGAACGTAGGCGAAAAAACTAGAATATCCGGACACTCCGGTTTATTATTGCAGCGGGACTTTCTGTATTATACTACTCGAAGGTGATATAATTCCGTATTATATATACGTCTTATTATTGCTGACAAACTTTATCCACCGAGTTCCATAAAAAGTAGTGTTGAATAATATTATTATAATCATCATCATCATCTCTCATCGCGCGTACATGCAATCAATTTAGAGTATACAAAACGAAAGGAGCGCGTGACGCGTCCTCCGTGTACCTGCCTTTACCAGTTAGTTTAATACGGTTGGCTTCGTAAAAATTATATTTTGAGGTGCGATTGCATAAGAAAATAGAAATTAAAATATTATGAATATCGATAAACGCCTCCCTTYCCCTCTCTATTTGCTTACAATATACGCACAACGCATAATATTATAATATATTACATTTATTTATTACTACGTAATACGTATACCTATATATAATGATAATGTACATAATATATTACAATATTATTATTCTCTTTTTTTTTTTAATTTTGTGATTTTATATTTTAGTGCCGCTTACGTGTCATTCGGCGGATTATTGATGCGACTTCTGGGTGACCCAAACAATTTACACGGATTCGAAGTGGACCAATGCGTTTACTTGCTGATGAAGAAATTAGCTTTTTAAAGTTATCTACAATTGTAGGGGGGAGGGGACCGTAATCAGCTTGCGAACATTGACTGTATACATTTTTATACAATTAAAATATATAAACATTACATAATATATTGTGTATCATGATAATAATTTGTCTTATTATTATTATTTTTTTTAAAATATAATTTCATTGAAATGTGTTGACGGCGACACCCTTATTATAAAATATATCTCTGCTATCTAGATGACGTGTCTGCTGATGTCATGCGGTATAAGTCATGACAGGAATGTTAATTACATCCAATTGTATAATTAATAATATATTACTAGTATAATCCCTCTATATACATATATWGTGTACCTATACTGTTTATCGATTCAACGATACCTTCCACAACTGCTGTACTTCGTTTGATTGTCTGTTTTTCTATTTTATTTTTTTTCATGCAATAGCACTATCGCCGTTTACTCACTCCTGCAGTTTTTCACTGCGTATCTTTCCAACCAAATATTTTGGAATATCTCGCAGAGCATTATATTAAATATGCGCCTCAATTCAGTCATGTTTTATGGGCTAAATAATATTATATTTCCCACATAATATTATACTTGTTATGGTAAAACTCTCAAACGTGTGAGTCTAATGGAAGAGTCGATGCGCTTAGCACTCTGGCCTGTGGAGGTGGGAATGACCAGGCCCTCGCCAAACCACGAAGCACGACGAGTAGTGTATTATGGATACAGCAATAATAACGAAAATCGGAATAACTATAGGACTCCGATGGACATATATATA